CTACTCGCTATTTTTCTTTCTCCTTCATCTTTGACCAAGGCAATCAACATCTGCCTTGGAATATTGAATATTGAATTCATTGCTAAGGCAACCCCCAGGCTGTAGGGCTGCAACTCGTGGTAACATTGGAAATGGGATCCAATTTATCGCCTTCATAATTCCCGTCACTTCTGCCCCACAACATACAAGTATAACCCGTGCCAAGAGAAAGAGTCTACAAGTAATATCTTGACCCTTAAATGAAGAACATGTATATGTCAGGCACCCATGGATAAGCATTGTCAAGTTATTCTTAGATCACTCACAGGTACTCCATACATGTTAGTAGATAAATAATTACATGAACATGGGCCTACCCTACAGTACGACCTTTAATTTCCATGAATATGATTACCACAACACCCGATCCCACATCAATGGCTTGCCTGATGAGATGATCGTTATAACAATATTGATTAGATGTTTTTTTTTAATGATTTTGTATATCACATTCTTCGTTTTGACTCTTGAACTACAACATTGTGGTCCGTCAAAAAGTTATTTGCTCATTGTGGCTGTGTTTTCTATTGGTACGGAGTAGATGAAGATACGACGACATCGTCATAGACTACCTAGTACCCTTTAAGTATGAGGACACCTACCAGGTAGACACACTTGACAGTAATTGCAAACAGAGCACCCTGTTGCCCTATTATTTGTCGAGAAGTCGTTTAAATAGGTAAATAAATGTGCATGCCACATGATTTTGACCCTCTTGTCTCCCACTCAAGTGCATGTCCATTGTGAAATAAAATGGTCAAAGTTGTTTTTAAGCTCGTGGCTGCTGTTGGTCTTGATCGTTCCGAGATGTGTGATCGTGCATGGAGCATTCTGGAGCTCAGCCATCAAGCCACGGGCCTAGACTTGCTTGTTGGTTGTATTATTTTGCAGTGCCCCAAAGCTGCGGTTGTGTAACCACTCACTCCAAAGCCGCCGAGAGTGAGCACTTTGAACCGTCAGGAGACTGGCATCAAATTACCTATTGACCATCACAAAGGCTGGAGTTTTTCATAAAAATAATACAAGTAACTTCCTGGACCGACCTTGCGGATTCGAGTGCTCAATTCAGGAATCCGCCGGAGACCAGTTGCAGGGCTTTTGAAGATCTTGCCTTGAACACGTCTGCCAAGGAGGCCGACTCTGAAGTCTAGTGGCACTCCTTCGTCCAGCGCTTCCCATCTTTAGTTAGATGCCGCGACTGTGGTGTTAGGAGCTCGGAGCAGACAGGCTGCCTCTCACCACCTTCCTCATGGCATCTCATGTGCTTGACGCCACAAGGCTGAATTCAGAGTTTCTCTTTCATGACAGCACCAAAATGGAGGCCTCCATTTGGAGCTGAACCCGTGCTTCGATCAATCCTATTTAACAAGTCCCTCGCCTCACTGCGTTCCAAAATGGTCATTTTCTTCATTTTCAAGAGGCGTCTTAACATATCAACAGAGGAATCTGGAAGTCTTTGCATTCGCGATTGGACATGAACCCACAACAACCCCCTTACGGCCAGCAAGCCCCTTACGGTGGTTACCCACCACAGGCTCCTCCAGCGGGAGCTCCTGGACAGCCTCCTGCACAATCATATTATGGCTACGGACAGCAACCCCCGACTGGACAACCCCCGACTGGACAACCACCATATCAGGGCCAGTCGTACCCCGGTGGACCACCCCACACCCCAGGTCAATATCCTCCGCTACAGCAGTACCAAGGTCAGGCATACCCACCTTACGGAGCTCCACCTCCGGGATCGCACCCGACGCCTTATGGGCAGCCGCCTGTCGGTGCTCCGTACGGACAGCAGCCACCGCCGGGTCAGTATGGCCAGCACGGCCAGCACGGCCAGCAACCGCCATATCAACAGCAGCCATATGGCGCACATGTGAGCGACAATTACTCTGCGTAAAAAGCGTAATGAGACACTAACATCCACCTGCAATAGCCTCCTGCTCAACACTGGCAACAGCCCCACCAAGGGCCAGGACAGCAACAGTTTGCTTACAGTGGCCCACCAACACCAGCATCATTAGGTTACGATTCGGCACAGCAACAGTTGGTGCCCCATATTGACACATCCTCCGATGTCGAGGCACTCAGAAAAGCCATGAAGGGCATGGGCTGCGATGAGCGCGCTCTCATTCGTGTCTTTGCCGATCGCAAGTACCAGAACCCTTGGGCCATGGCCCAGCTGGTGCGTGATTACAACAGTCGCTTCATCCGTGATTTGGGCAAGGACATCAAGGGGGAGACTCGAGGCACCTTTGAGACCGCACTTCTGGCCCTCCTCCGAGGCCCGCTCGAAAATGATGTGTGCACTCTGGATAAGGCTTTGGACAGGGCGGGTACGGACGAGGAAGCGTTGATGGATGTGCTCCTCTGTCGGTCAAACGCAGATATTCGTGCCATCATTGCCTCATACAGGGCGTACAAGGGTCGCGAATTGCTTGCCGATATCAAGGATGACGTCGACGACACCTTGTTCCGCCTTTACAGCATGGTCCTCTCAGCAACTCGCGCCGAAGACTCTACGCCAGTCAACCCGGCCGATATTGATCACAAAATCACCGAGCTTCAACGCGCGACTGAGGGTACGATTGGGGCCAACGCCGTCTCTGTGGCGCAAATCTTTACCAGTGCCAACGATGCGCAGTTGCGCGCCATGAGCGATGCTTACCAGAGGAAATACCACCGCAGCCTGGAAGACGTGATTGAGCGGGAGTTTAGAGGCGACATGGAGGATGCGCTTTTACGGATGCTGGCAAATGCAAAGGACAGGGCGAGCTTGGATGCACAGGGACTACGGGAGCCGCTGATGAAGACGCTTTCCAAAGACAAGCTGTTTATCAATCGGGCATTGAGACTGCATTGGGACAGAAACAGGTTGGTAGCTGCTCAGGTGGCATATAAGAAAGTGTATGGGCAGACTCTGGTCAAGGGGACAAAAGAGCTGCTGAGTGGGGATTATGAGGATTTGATGGTTGCTTTGATTGGCGAGAAGTAACGAGCCGCTCATGTGTAATGAATTAATTGAGAATGGATACCCTTTTATGAGATGCTGAAATATGCGAGGCTTTAATCATGGCTATCTGCTATTATGGTCGAGACCAACCAAAACTTCCGATTGACTCCAACTTGATCCATATTAATCACAATAATGCGAGATAACTTGAAGGTGCAAGTTATGGTCCCGAGATAACCCAAGCTCCTTGGCCCACGAATGAATCCACCTCTTTGGAAGTTGATCTGTCTAGGGTGCCAGATATCTCGACGCCTCTGGTCAAACCCATATAAAGCTTGTCTGGTCCAATCCTTCCGTTAAACATGGCCGTTCCATCTAGTGAACTGGTGGAGTAAAAGCTTAACGTGGCCTGGCCGGCACAATCTTCCACTGCGGTGGTGATGGTAGCATAGTAAGAGTGTGTCGTCTCATTGGTCTTAAAGATGGCTTCGATCCGGTTATTTTTAACTGTAAATGTTCCAGAGGCATTCATTTTAGGGATGCATCAACGGGATCAGCGACGAGGGTTGATCTTTGAGTCAAGACTAATACAAGTACGAGGAAGAAAATGAAATCTGGCTCCTGAAGGGCGGGGTTCTGACCATGCTCGATCTGCCATTTGGTGGGGTTCCGACATCATGGATCTGACTGCACGAGTTCACCATCTACTTACATAAGTGACTCATGTTGCAGACAACGGTATCAATAACACGAAAGGTTCCATGCTAAGGGAAAATGAAAACGAGAAATTACAAAATTACGATTTATTGATGACTGCCTATTGAAGCACACGCTGTCTCGCCCATCGCAGCACCCTGCCCTCAAGCCTTGACCTCTTCAATCTTTCCAGTCTTGACATCGTAAATGTAGCCCGTGACTGGCACATCTAGAACTAACTTGCTGTTCTTCAAGAATTGAACATCGTGATGAACACTCTCTTCCAAATCTCTGAACGGTAGAAAGGCAATGTGGCTCGTATCCTGGCCAAGGTCTGACTGAATCTTTTCTCTGAGCTCGTCGTCTCTAAAGGTGAGCATCCCACAGTCGGTCTGTTTTGTTATTAGAACATGCCACGCAAAGGGAAAGGGAGTTCTTACATGGTGGATGACTACAATCTCTCGCGTTCCTAAGAGCTGTTGCGAAATGATGACTGATCGGAGAGCCTCGACGGCACGGCCACCAGCGTTGCGGAACACATGAGCGTCACCTTCCTCAAGGCCGAGGAACTTGGCAGGGTCCAATCGTGCATCCATGCAGGTCAGCACGAATAGTTTACTTGACGTAAAAATATGGGTTAGCAACAGCTTAATATTACCCACTGCTGTCATCGCAAGCACCATCGATGCCAGAAATGGGCGAGGATCATGGACGTACCGAGAAGGCGGGATGGTAAGGGAACCCTTGTTAAAGGAGGATTCATATTTCTTATTGGCGGCCTCTAGTTCAGGAACAAGTGACATTTTGACGATTTGTATTTAACTTTTGCCGTTGATTCGAGTGGGAGATTTAATCTAGTTGACAATGATAGCCAGCTGGAGATTAATATGATCCGGCAGATGATACTCCCGCTGCATATTTATATAAAACTATACCAAGTAGATAGCTCGGGCGAGTTTCATGACAATCCTACCTTCTCCGCATCCCATATCCAGCTCTACTCCAATCTCGCAAGGCGACATGCCAGATCTGTAAGTCGTCATCAGTTAAGTGTGTGTCGCCATGCGGGGATGCGCCAATCGAATAGCGACGGCTGCCAACAAAGATGATCGGTGCTGATAATGACGATGCTGTTAGATTGCCGAGATGTACTTGGCACATGTTAATAATCACGGGGCTCTAGTACTACCAATGAAGGATCTGGAGACTCGTCTGGTAGTGAAGGAATAGAGGAGTAGAGCTATCTTAGATTGATTAATCTTCTCCTTTATAAATGAAATATTAACCTCCCCATATATCAAATAACATGGTATCCGATATAGTGTAACGGTTATCATATAGCGCTTTCATCTCTGAGAGTTCCGCTAGGACCCGGGTTCGACTCCCGGTATCGGAATTTCCTTTTTTGCATTTTTTTCATTTCATCTTTTCCCTTGCCGTCAATGACCTGGATATCTAGGTACCTGCATCGGGAGAATGCACTAAATAAACACAAAATAAGAAGGAAGGTTTTTTTTGTAATTAAAATAAGTCTAGTTCTAGTAGTTGGTATAATACTACTGTGATAGAGCCAGGTTTACTTTAGCGTAAGGAAACTTATCCTTCAATTTGGGATGCCGGAAAAACGGGTACCGGAACGGCTTGAAGGATAAAAAGTGATTATTTATACATTTGTATAATAGTATTAATAATTAATTCTTTACTTTTGTTCGTTTAACTTGATCGATCTTGTTCTTCATAGACTACGGCGTCTATACGCCAGTTTCTATTATTTCTTTTGTCCAAAACAACTGATCTAATGCAGAAATATTGTTAGCCTTTCTCTCTAGATCAAACCGGCCTCGAACGATTGATCTAGGTCGTGTTGATTATCCGAATATTAGACAGTGCTTTATTTACGACTGCGGCTTCAATAGGATTACCCTGGACTAGCAGAAGCTTTTGGGCTACTGTGTCCTCTGTTGTTATTGTGTTCTTTTTCGCTATCACAGTAGGAGACAAAAAGAAGAAGAAAACAGACTATTAATGACTTTAGGAAATAGTCAGGAACTGAAGAATATAACGGGAAATAAGAGGAATAAATAGAAGAAGTAGGGAAAATAGTTTGAAATAATATAATTTCCTTTATTCTAATTCAGGCAAATTTAACGTCAGACTTTCTATGCTCCCTCATTGTAGGCAACTGCCTTTGCCATCCATCGGACCGATAAATCTTACTAAGACGGATGCAGGAATATGCTTAAACTCCTGATCTAACCAATACCGTCTATCGTTATCGCTGTCGAGTAACTGTTTTAGGCATGTTACTAAGTAAATATCTAGAGCATTTTCTCCACAGTTGTCAAGTTCATCATGAAACAGACCGATGAGACGCTGGGGGGTTGCTGTCGGGGCATTAATTGACCGCCTCTGCAATTGTTGTCCCGAGAGCCATATGACTAATTAAGGTTATCTAGAAGGTTATGGGAGTATAAGATGATCTTGCGAGTACCGTGAAAGGAAGAACACAAAAAAACAAAGGCTATTATTACTTCTGCACGATCACTCCATTGAGTAACTAAGCTTAAGACCAACCTCGCAACTACCCTTTCAATATGCGCTCCAACATCCTTACTTTGGCCTTTGCCGCCGCCGGTGCCATGGCTACCCAAACTGTCACTCTCACCCCGGAGAAGGCAACCACCATTCTCAAGGATGTGATTGATACCCTCCAGACCACTGGAGACCTTAGGGTCAAGTTGCAGCAAGCAACTCCCAAGCTGGATGCAGAGAATGCTGCTCCCGTTTACAATGTGCGTTTTATAACACTTAACAGATGTCCGATACATAGATTAGGGAATGGGTGACTAACGTTAAAGGAACATATAGAGCCTTGCCGAGGGCTTCAAGCATGCACTCAGTCTTTTGCCCCCGTCCGAAGCTACCGTGGATGTGGTCATCAGCCCTGCTCCCACCGCCGCACAGGTCGCCGCTATCTGCGCCCTGGGCCCTAAGTTCCTGGCCGCCGGAAACCACGCCAGCGACGGGCTCGCCAGCGTGCCCGACTTCCAGGACCAGAACAACGGCCCTGCCCGAAACGCAGCGCTCACCCTGGGCGCCGCACTCGAGTCCCTGGGATGGAGCTTAAACATCTTCCACTGGGACTTCATTAACGCTGGTGTGATGGACAAGTGCGATAAGGCAGCCCAGACTGCTTTCGGCGATATTCCTCTTAAGCTTATGAATGCCGGCGATGCCATCTTCTACTAGATATGTTCTTGACACAATAGGCATCTGCCTAGTTTATTAAAGCAACAGATAGGAGCGCTTCACAAGCTCTTATAGTTTATAAAACTTTGTACATATTATGTCAGACTCAAAGACTGGACATTCTAAGTCACTGCGAATTCTGTCCTCTCTGTTAATACATAGATAGGATTACCAAATCATCAGTATTCATTCTTCCTATCACACAGAACTAGCTACTATCGAATGTTTATTATTTCAACGTGAATGACTTTCATGGCCACACTGTCCTTTATGCTATTGCGTTTTGAATCGGTTGAGTGTTTAAAAATCTCTGCGCTGTAGCCATTTGCTCTGTAGAAGGCATATTGGCAATCATAAGATACAACACATCCTATTGGGAAGTTAGCTTAACCATATCTCTCAACAGTTCGAAAGTCATGTCAAAATGGGAATTTACTAACCTCATGCATGAGCTTCTTAGCACTACGAATCAGAGCCAACGGTCCAATCGTACCCAAGAGAGTCGGCCCCTTCTCTTCCCTCCTTGCGGCTCTCTGGTCATTCCTGCGCTCACGCCTTGCCTGCCTTCGTCCGCCCCTACCTCCAATTGCACCGCCGGTTAGTAAAGCTATGAGGCTGCCACTGCTAGCAGGATGATTAGGATCTGAGAAGCGAGAATGAAACTCAGGCTCAACGCCGAGATTGGCGAGGCCACTGGTTGGGTGGTCGGCGGCCCATTGTGCCTGAGCCCTTTTATCCATGTACTCCATTGCAAATATCATGCCTCGCGCCCCGCCATTCGGTTTCTTCTCTGCTGCCGCTGCCGCTGCCTCGTCAATCATTTCCCGACCCTCTGCAGTGGTGGCAAGCTTGTCTAGGTTCGGGAACACGAGTGGCGCCGACTCCGGCCACTCAAAATTGGTCGTTGCATTAGAGGCCTGCATCTTGTTTCTGATGCCCGGCTGCGACTCCGAGACATTCGAGGCGGCCGTCTCCAGTGCAGCATCGAATCTAGCCTGGGTCACAACCTCGCCGGGTTTACTTGGCTTCCAAGTCAAGATCACAGCGATGAGCCCAAGCGGCCGAAAGAAATCGGCGTTCATCTTGTTCAAGAATGTATTCGTCTTGGAACGGCTGTGGGCCTGCAAACTAACTTGCGTTGCGATTTGAGCCGCAATGGACACAGCAATGGTGACTGGCTCGGGTACATGTTGGACAGCTAAGCTTGCCACGTTGATGGCATTGATCCACGGCGATGGCATTGTCGCTGTATTTAATTGCTTTATAAAGTCCATAAAAGTCCATTGGTCGATACCAACGTCTCCGAGCGTAGGAGCATAAGCATGAATGAAACCACGAGCTCTCTCACCAGGTCGCCGCTGTGGAATAATGACAGGCACTGGCAGCTGTTGCCTGTCACTGGTCTGTTGCTCTGGGATAGGATGTCGTGACAGGAATTCATGGGCCATATCATCAGCGTCGTGCTGTGTAGCGGTGGCATAGTCTGGTGGAGGTGCAAGCTCGAACTGCGCATCGTCGAGCTGCCATGCCGCTTCATCTAGCTCGCGTAACGCCTCCTGGCTGACATGTTCATCTTCGCCGTCAAAGTCGGATGGTCCATCTTGATCAGAGGCTCCTTCTAATGATTGTGGTGGGTGCAATCCATCGTGACCCTCTCCTGGACCATCTCTCGTATTGTCAGTTGCGGCGGCCTCTGCTTGCTTCTTCTCCTGCTTCTTCTCTTGGTAATGATGGTAGCTTTCAGAGGCAAGACCAATACCAGCGGCAACACCTCGCACAAGGGAACTGATGGGTCCTTTTCGCCGCGCAGGGCCTCTATTCCTAGCGCCCTGGGGATCCGAACTATCACCATAATAGTCCCCATTGCCTTGCTGGCTGCTGTGATCACGATGTCTCGGCATCGCTATAGTATAACCCACATATATGTAACTGCAATTGGCTTTGAGAGTCGCTCGAAGACTCAGGTTACAGACAATTGAGAAAACACAGGTTAGAAATGAAGTTGTAATCTTGTTCAATTGCGAATTGGCCTATTTGTAGCTTCACACGCTGCAGTAGTCTAACCTCATGAGGCTTCCGCTTACAGTGGCGTTTAGAGTATGCCGACTTTCCGGCTGATTCGTATCACTTACCGTTGATTGCTGTGCTTGAATGCCGGTGGGGTAATAAGCATATGCACGTTAGGACACACGTAGCTTGAACACGTAGTCAATGGGTATAAGTGGCTGAGCACATTGTACAGTTCCCTGTCAACAGTCTAAGACCACACTGCCTCTGACTGCGTAAAATACCCAATGTGTTATAGTTTAACCTATAACTTTATTAAAAAATACTATTGGAGTATAAGTTTAATAATATTATATTAAAAAACCATTAAAATTATAAATTGAAAAAATAGTAAAAAAAGTATTAACAGTAATAATTATAATAGTATTAACTTTAAAGTTATTAACATATTCTATAAGCGAGTGTGCCACACAAGCGAGTGTGCCACCCCTTACCACCTTATGTAAAAAAAAACAAAATCAGCTCTTAACACTTTTTAATCTATATTAAATATTTAATTATTATAATAGTATTAAAAGAAAATAATTATATCTTTTACTTAATTATATTTTCTTATAGATTTATATATTATAACTAGTCTTATTATACTTACTATAACATAAAGCCTTTATATAAGCAAACCCTTTTTACCGCCCCTTTTACTTAATTTACTTATTTATATCCCTTTAATCCAATTAATCGATTCTTTTTTAAATAATAATATACCTTTAAGTCATATATAAGTTTTTTTATTTTATAGTATTTACTTAATATTTTATTTATTATATAAAGCTTAAAAATCTTTTTATATAAAAATATTATTTAATATATAATTACTATTATACTCTTTATAAATTAATTAATTATAATTAATATTATAATTAAAAAGCTATTTTAATAAATAAAAATATAATTCTTTATATACTTTAACTATAAGATAGTCTTATATATGTTTTTTAGTGTTTTAAAGACTTAAGGTTATATAGATTAAGATAATATTTCTAGAAATATTAATATTTATAACTTTATATTAAATATTAAAAAATACTTTATAAATTAATTAATAATAAATTAGTTTTTTTAAAATCTTTTTTAATATTT